ATATATATATATATATATATATATATATATATATATTGCTCCAGCGATCTGCATGGACCTTACCTCTGAGTAGATATGGTGCTGATCCATGTAATTTCTACACAATTTAGAGCCTCAATGCTACATCCATACACACACATATAAAACACTGAAGCTCTAAATTCTGTAGACATTACATGGATCAGCAGCATTTCTACTCAGATCACTGGAGATATAATTATTTCTTTGCTGCCTCTCCTCAAGGTTTGTGAAGATGGGGTACACACAAAGCACCAATAAAAACACATAAATGGATCAATAGCATGGTGTGGCATGGCATGGGTCCATTGATCCATGGCATGGAATTCCATAGCATTGAATCCATGGCAGCTAAAGTAGTGTCAGACCGGATTATTCCTGCAATGTGAATGCAGCAGAATTTCACAGCATTGGACCCATGGCAGCTAAAGTAGTGTCAGACCGGATTATTCCTGCAATGTGGATGCAGCAGAATTTCACAACATTGGACCCATGGCAGCGAAAGCAGTGTCAGACCGGATTATTCCTGCAGTGTGGATGCAGCAAAATGCCATAGCATTGAATCCATGGCAGCTAAAGTGGTGTCAGGACAGATTATTCCTGCAATGTGGATGCAGCCCAAGTGGCTTCCTTCTACCCATCTTTGCTCATTCCCTAAAGCAAATTTGCACAAGAAAAGAATTCCCTTTCAACAAGTACATACATAAACCCCAAGGAAAAGGAAAAAGAAAAGGAAAAGGGGAAAAGGCAGGCATAATTGTCAGGCAGGAGGCCTGAAAAGCAGCAAGGAGGGCCAAGGCTCCTGGGTGGGTGCGCGTCTTTCCGGGGAATTACGGTAGGGCTGGTCTCCAATCCATCCTAATGGGAAGGCAATTGGAGTCCCTGATGAAGGCAGCTCAGGTTTCGGGTAATGGCTCTACCACATTTTCCTGGCCCTCCTTTTTGAACCTGAGCTGCTCTTCTTCTCAGCTGCTGATGACTTCAAGATGTGGGGATTTGGGAAGGGAAGCTGAGAGGGAGCCAGCACAGTTTAGATTAGCCAGGACACTGTTTGTTGTTGTTCAAGGCTGTTTATTTAATCGCAGGACCAAAGCTGCAGACTGCGCCTTTCCTCTCCCCAACTCCATCCTTCATTTAAATCTGTTCCCCCCCTCCTTTTCTCTTTTTTTCCTTTCTGAGGATGCATCCACACTGCAGAAATAATCCAGTCTGACACTGCTTTGATTGCCCTGACTCAATGCTAGGGAATTCTCTGGTGGCACCTAAATGTCTCACAAAAAAATACAATTCCCAGAATGATGGCTTCCTTTCTTTTGCAAAGTGGACCAAGGTGCAAAACACACTGCAGAAATAATCCAGTTTGAGACCGCTTTGATTGCCCTGACTCAATGCTAGGGAATTCTCTGGTGGCACCTAAATGCCTTACAAAAAATAACAGTTCCCAGAATGATAACTTCATTTCTTTTGCAGGGTATGTTGACCAAAGTTCCAAACACACTGCAGAAATAATTCAGTTTGAGACCACTTTAACTGCCCTGGCTCAATGCTATGGAATCCTGGGAATGGTAGTTTGTTGTGGCACTAAATGTCTCACAAAGCTACAATTCCCAGAATGATAGCTTCATTTCTTTTGCAGGGTAATCTTACCAAGAATCCATCCGTCTTGCAGAAATAATCCAGTTTGACACCACTTTAACTACTGTGGCTGAATGCTGTGGAATGGTGGGAATTGTAGTTTTGTAGTGGCACCAGAGCTCTCTGACAGAGAAGGCTCAATGTCTCACAAAACTACAGTTCCCAAAATTCCATAGCATTGAGCCAGGGCAGTTAAAGTGGTGTCAAACTGGATTATTTCTGCAGTTTAGATGCAGCCTGAATTTTCATCATGGGTTTTTCCTGGTGAAAGACAGAAGTGTTTTCTTTCTATGCAGTACAAGGAGAGTTAGCTAAGGAAGCCAGTTTCCCTGAGTTTGCAAGACCTGAGCAGGCTGTTGAGGACAGGGGTCTTGGAGGTCCTTTTACCAG